TAGCGTCTTAATTAAATATAAAAAAAATTAATTCCAAAAAGGCAGACACTTTTTCCGGGGTTTTAATTGCCATCCAACATAAAAATGAATGAACCTCGTTATGCGCCACTCTGCATTGAATAAGTATATACTTTTTAAAAACTAAACATTTTAAATTACCAAGACTGTGAAATAATAAAACAGTATTTTTCCTTTTTTTAGGAAAAAAAAAACAAAAAAAAACTAAAAGTTCGGGGCTCGAACCACCAACTTGCTATTCACATTATCAAAATTTGGATAGTGTGGATAGCAAGTTGGTGGTTCGAGCCCCGAAACTTTTGGTATTTTTTTCCTAAAAAAAAGGAAAAATATTATTGTTTCATTATTTCAGTCTTGGTAATTTAAAAAGTTTAGTTTTTCAGTGCATAGTGGCGAATAAGTTGGCCGGCAATTAAACCCGGGAAAAAGTGTCTGCCTTTTTGGAATTAATTTTTTTTATATTTTAATTAAGACGCTATTAAAATTTCAGCGTGAATCAAACACTTCAAATCATATTTAAAAAAAATCAACTTTAGGGTTGATTTATTAATTATAAACCCTCTCAAAAGTGTCTGCTTAAATTTGTTTTTGCTATAAACCCTTCATATTTATTGTCTTGTATTAAGTGCTTACTTATTTAATATGGAAAGCAAAACGTACAACAAACTCAGAAAAAGAGGATTCAAGGAGGGATTGCTATGGCTGTCATCCAAGGGTCCCCGCCCTAGATAATACTTTTCCAGTGGAAAAAGCCTTTAAAATTCATGTATAACAATTTTATGTTTCAGTTTTCCCTTCTTTTAATGTAGGTGCCACTTTTGACGTAAGTTTGCAATAATTTTTCATATTTTGTAGTTAATACCCTCTAATATTATAATTTAACTAAGATCTTATGCTTTCCTATGGACACGATTCAAGGAGGGAGTCATATGGCTGTCATCCAAGCCCTAGATAATAGTTTTCCAGTGGCAACAGCAATTAAACCCGGGAAAAAGTGTCTGCCTTTTTGGAATTAATTTTTTTTATATTTAATTAAGACGCTATTAAAATTTCAGCGTGAATCAAACACTTCAAATCATATTTAAAAAAAATCAACTTTAGGGTTGATTTATTAATTATAAACCCTCTCAAAAGTGTCTGCTTAAATTACTAGTATTTTTAGATTTACCTAAACTTTCAATTGTTGTTTGTTGGCCTCTGAATCAAACACTTTTCTTGGGTCATATTTTACGACCCCTTTCTATTATGCGCAGTACCTGGTGTCCCGGGGTGGGTCTAGCCAACACAGGTATATCTGCTTTTCCATCCAAATGATTTCAAATTACAAAATTTCAAAGTGCATCAAACTCTTAATGGAACGTGTGTTACTAGCTCTCCAACTATTAAATATTACTTAAATAAGAACGAACATAAAAAAATATTGTTTTTGTTATTCAGAATCACCGTAAGCACTACTATTATCCTCTTCGTCTATATCGGGATTTTCTTAGTCTCCACCACCACCGTTACCAGGAACTAGAGAGTCATAAAATGCGCAATTTTTTTTTTTCTTTAAGAACACTGCTTAGTGTTTGCAGGTCTGCTAACTTTACTGGATTTAGTGGGATTGGACCTTGTTTCTTATTATACTTTGTCTGCACATGCCTGAGTAAGTATTTCGTACTTCTAAGAAACTCTTACATGAGTGAATGCGAAATATACGTAGAGGTTTTAACTGAACAGCGGGTCTGGGTTTTCTCAGAAAGAACTTGTCAATCGCCTGCTTAAAGTTAAAAAAATCTTCTTGCTGCATTTCATGAAGGTCGAAAGGTGAGGGCTTTTTACGACAAGTTTTAATAATGGTATGCCAGTGTTTGGGGACTTCCGCGGTTTCAACATTTGGAGATGATCGAAAAGTCTTGATCGTCAAACAACTTCAGACAGTGAACATGCTATATTTCGATAGGCTTTTTACGGGTGATATGAGTTGTTTTTGCCGGAAATAAAATTACCTACCGATAACTATGGATTATCTGAAGGCAGTGTTGCCTATACCTCAAAAATTAAATTTTCTGACATGCGCTGTTTTTGCTATAAACCCTTCATATTTATTGTCTTGTATTAAGTGCTTACTTATTTAATATGGAAAGCAAAACGTACAACAAACTCAGAAAAAGAGGATTCAAGGAGGGATTGCTATGGCTGTCATCCAAGGGTCCCCCGCCCTAGATAATACTTTTCCAGTGGAAAAAGCCTTTAAAATTCATGTATAACAATTTTATGTTTCAGTTTTCCCTTCTTTTAATGTAGGTGCCACTTTTGACGTAAGTTTGCAATAATTTTTCATATTTTGTAGTTAATACCCTCTAATATTATAATTTAACTAAGATCTTATGCTTTCCTATGGACACGATTCAAGGAGGGAGTCATATGGCTGTCATCCAAGCCCTAGATAATAGTTTTCCAGTGGCAACAGCTTTTAAAATTCAAGTATAATAATTTCCTGTTTCAGGTTTTCTCCTTTTTCGAAGTAGAGGTCCATTTAAACTAAAAAATGACTTGTTGATTTTAGCATTTATGTACAGTATCGGCTATTGAATACTTTCCAATACGCTTGACTAGCATCGAAGCGAAAGCTAAAGAGTTAGCATTAGTGCGATCAGGAAACTAATAATATGAATGTTGCCTTGTGTGCTGTGTAATATGAACAGGCACACGGTGCATGCATCCCCACGTAGCAAAACGTATTGTAAAACATTCGATAGGCGACACTGTATTATCACAAACATCTCTTAATAACTAAATGATTTTATTTAATATAGTGTCTTTTTTTTTCAGTAAAATGGATATGGCTAGAGTTAACCTCGAGTTTAAAATAAATTAAATAAGTTTTATAATTTTTCAAATAAAATATTTTATACAATTTTTTTTTACCCGAGCCAATTTTTTTCAGATCTAACCTCTATAGGTAAAAAATAAGTGATTCAGGTAAAATTGAAAAGTATATTACATGTTCTTTTAAATGTGTTGTTAATCCAAACACTGCTCTTATTGTAATAGCTAACAATAAAGGAATTCGTATTATTTTTAGCTATCAAAATAAAAACAGCGCCTGGATTTACAGCTCGTTTAATGGAACATGCAATATACTTCCCAATTATTATTGCCGAATGTATATATTTAAAAATTCCCGCCATTCCGCTGCTAGAAATTACGATTTTGGCGGGAAATTTAAATTTCGCCTTAAAATTATATTTTAATTTACCGCCATATCGAGTTAGTTGAGCGGCCAGTCGCATTTAGCGCTGCAAACTTAGTGCCATCTCTTTAACAAGTGAGATGCACTACTACTGGAGATATATTGTGAGGATACCTGTGCTGTAGCCATCGTGGGTTGCTTCGCAAAAAAAATACACATGAAATGGGAAAAATACAAAAACTTAATCAATTTAATAACCTGTGTGGTCTGGAACCATTTAAAATTAAACAATAGCTCTCATACAATCAACCCAGACCAGGCCGCACAGGTTAGGGTTAGGGAAATTAGTTTTGTTGTTTTAATCATTTTATGTTAATTTTTTTCTATACTTAATGTGACGTTTGTTTACTTTAAAACAACAGTTTATTTATTAATAATTTATTTAAACACTTATTTATTTTATAACACAACTATTCTAATTTATATGTACTTCGAATGTCTTTAAACTGATCACTATTTATATTCACCACTGTCTATCTACTAATTACTATTTATCTTCACTGTCCATATAATAACTGATTGCACTCTGTTATTCCACCAATATTTATATACAAATTTCTAAAGTTTGGTGGAGTCTAGAAGCTCCTCCACCAAACTAGAAATATTTGGAACAGACCAGAAATAGTATCTCGTCCTTTCTCGAATAGTCATCGAAATCACCTCCGCCATAGTCGTCCCATACGTTTGGTCTTAAGGGGTTTAATTATGTATAATAATCGGACAAGTTGAGCCTCAAAGGCCAAATAAGACAGAGAGGGACTTGTAGGGTTAGAGCATGACTGAATAATGAAATGGCTCACATAACATTAACAATCATTTGCGTTAAACTTGGAGGGTTGCAAATTTGCATTTACGTATAGGAAGGCACATAAATGGCTCTGTAGAGTTTGCAAAACTTTTCTAATTTTTTTGCGACTGCAAAGAATGCGAATTATTGATTTTTGTTAATTTTTCAAGGTTGCGGACCTTATCAGGTTGTTAAGAAAAATAATATTAACATTTATAACCAATTTTCAAAACTTTTGCATTTTTTTTTTGACAAAATTAGAGGTAAATAAACAATTGTTTTGTCGTTAAAAAAAATATTTGTTTGCAAAATAGAAGGTTGAAAATTGGAATAGTTGTTCCAAAAATGTTTATAAGTTATGTCATAGGTTTGCAGCACTTTTGCAATGTTTTCAACAATGATATAAACAAAAACGTTATTTTACAAAAAATATTCATGTTGTGAACTTTCATAAAAGTTGCAAATCTGATATTATATTGAAAACATCCTAATTGATATTAGTTCAAGTTTGCAGCTTTTTTGCAAATTTTTTTCTTAAAATTATGAACAAGAGCGTCATTTTGCTCTGAATTAATTAGTTCTGGAGCTTGGAAAAAGTTGCAAATTTAAATTTATTATTTAAAATTTTCAAAATAGGGTGTCTTCATTGACTGGCCTAGTGGTCAAGTAATATAAAAACCACGTGCAACTTTCAACCGGGTCGGTATATTTTGTATTGCACCCCAAATCCAGTTGGACCCGTAGCGGGAGACGTTTTCGCCATGTCCTCGTTACAGCACTTACGGCACCAACATATTCAACGAAATTTTCCACCTTAAATTGCAACACTGCTTTTCTCCAAACGAAAATCCCCAAAGCTCTGACAGTTTGTGGGATCCGGCAAGACGGCGCCGCAAGTGAAGCGTCGCGACGGCAGGCGCAGGCTCGCGGTCGGTGTGCTCCCCGGCGACGTTCAGTAAGTGACATGATATCATTAGAACAGTTTCGTTGCAAATATTACCCGCTCGGAGAGACATGTATGGCGATGAATTTACACACAGCAAGCAGATTATTTGTGGTAAGCATTCACAATTTGTTCATAGGTGAACGATGAGTCTACCTATTTAATTTAATGACTGTTTATTGTTGTCTTAATAGAAACAAATCAGAAACATTTATAAATGTTCATAAAGATGCAACGCTAATGCAGAGCGCATCCGAAATCATTTTGATACATGGGAGGTAACCGAATTCGTCAAACTTCCGAAACTAATCTTCAGATTAAATGCATTTTTACCTTTTATTAAACCGTTATAGAAGTTTGTAATTCATAAACTCGTAACTAAAAACTAGTTTAGTGGGGAATTGGTATCCGAGTCTATTCCGGATTGAATCAAAATGTGACAGATCCGCCTAAGTGAGAAGCACATGGTGTAATATTGTTGCAAATAATTTTCAAAATAAATAACGTTTTAAAATAAAAAGCACAAATTTAGCTTCATTTATTGGTTCTGTTCTAATAGCGCCTAGAGAACAATTTGAAAGACAATTTTTTTATGTACAATTATTTCCAATTGATGACAGTTACCTAAGTTATAATGAGTAAACAAATTTGATTAGTTTCCAAGATTTTCATTTAAGAACAAGTTAGATAATACATTATTTTGTTTATAATTTTTTTTTCACAAAGGTACATGAGAAATAAATTTTTTTATGGAAAATATAATTATTTGTTTTTCTCCAGATATTAAAATTACATATTACACACTCAAGCATAGGTAAAAAAAACACGGTTCGCCAGTATTTTTTTCAGACCTATTAGAGACTTTCTTTAGGAAAATTTCATATAAATCTAAATTGTGGAATGATTTTTTTGTAATCACGAATGTTAATTCGGCATATTTTTAACGAAATCGTTTCAGGGAACCCAACACAGGGTGTTTCAAAAAAGGTGGCGCCGTTGCTAGGATAGGTACAATATTGCAAAATAAGTTGGATTTGCTCAGTAAAAAGTGTTCGTAGTAGTATCCGTTTTCAAGATACAGGGCATTTAAAAAAACACATTTTTTAAGATTACATTTTCTAGTCCAAATTTTATGTGAACTCAAACATCAGTCAATGTTATACCAAAAAGTTACTCTTGGTAAAACTCGATAATGTGTATCGTTTTCGGAATATTTTGATTTGAAAATGATGAAGTAATAACTGATTTATTAAAAACCAAAAACAATAACATTATTCTAATACTACTTAATGTTAATAAATTAAACAAAGAACCACAAAAAGAATATTAAAATAAATTTGACCAAAAACATGAAATATTCAATTAGTTAGAGTAAGTGTTCAAAATGTCCTGCGTTTTCACGAATACAGAATTCTATCTTTTTTCTAAAGAATGCATTAATCTTCTAAACGGTTGAGGTCGTTAAAGTGATGTTCAATTCTGTATTGCAAGTTCTGACGTGAATTTACTTCTGTAGTATATACTTTTTCTTTAACATACAACCAAACTGTGTAGTCCAAAGGATTGAACGCGGAGGCTAATGAATCGGATCTTCTGCACCTATACCAATCCATCGATTCGGATAATGGTTACTCAACCAATTACGACACCCTCTATCACATGCATAAAAAAGAGAAATATTCGCTCGTTTAGCATTAAATCTTCTAATATCTCGAATAAATTATTTTTTAAAAACTCGAGGTACATATTACCATTCAGATTTCCAGGTAGAATGTGATAACAATTAATTTGTTACCTAAAGTTTCTGCCCAAACATGAACTTTAAACGAGTGTTGGTAATGTGATACCCTTTTAACATATAGATTCTCATCACAGCAGTAGTGTGTATAATGAGAGTTAAATATTTCTTGTCGCGTAAAGGTTGTCTTGTCGGTAAAAAAGATACATTTTAAAAAATTGGGATTGACTGCTGTCCAATTTATAACGTATCACAAAAATCCACTCTCTCCTAATACAAAAAACAACTTTCAAATGACACATAAACAATCAACGCTTTCTATTGAAAATATGGCACACACTCCTTCCTTACTATTTTGTATTCTAAGACTGTAAATTAAAGTAAGACAGAAGACTGTGAATTGTGAAGATAGTTTTTAGAATTGATATCAGGAATATTGCATTGTAAAAATTGTACAGTTTTTAATTATTGTTTATTGTTTTATTAGTTCTGACATTTTTTAGTTTTCATAATTAAAACCTCAAGCAACCATTCGTCTTTGTTCTGTTTCTCTTATTTTATTGTTTCGATTTTTTTATCGTATTTCTTCCTTCAATTAAAAATTGATGAAATTAATTTTTATAAGACAGTCTTGACAGTCTAGTGAGATCTGCAGTGGGATTCTCATCTTTCAATATGGCATGTGTCGAGTCGTCTATCTTCGTTCGACAGACTGCGATTCTTTATTTATTTATTTATTTATACAGTGTTCAACAGATTAAACCCAATTACAGAATAGGAGTACATTTTGAAGAAAACAGTTTAACAAAAAGCATATAGATAATTAATCTAAAATTACAGTAAATAAATTCTAAATTATTTTAAACAATGTGTTTTTATGTTTTTAACACTGCAATTAAATATTGTTCACTAATATTACTATAATTATTACACATATTATATACAGGTGAAAACTTCAGAACGTTTGTCCGAGGAGTTGCTATGTAAAATGATTCGGTGTTTCGAGAGGTTGCGCGGGGGATTCTAAAATTAAGCATATGTAAAAGAGCTTCACAATTTATTTTAAAATTAACAACTTTGTAGAGGGTAATTATGGAGAAGTACTTCCGTCTTACGTCGAGACTTGTCAATCTGTGTCTAGTCAGTAAAGCATTTTGAGTAATACCAATCGGTGGATAAATTTGGTCTGCCTGAAAACTTAAGTATTTGAGGAAACGCGTTTGTGTGGACTCTATCCGACAAATGTGTATCTGATAATAAGGATCCCAAATAAACGAGGCCTATTCGAGTTTAGATCGAACAAATGAGAAATACAATGATTTAAGAGTATCTGTGTTTTTAAAATCACGGCCCACTCGTATTATGAATCCATACATAAGATTTGCTGCTGTTGAAATGTTATCTATGTGGAATTTAAACGACAATACTGGGTCAAATGTAACCCCTCAATCCATAAAATTGTTGGATCTAGAAAGCAAACGTCCATCAAGGACATAATCGAATATAATTGGATGCGCTTTTAATGTGTATGACATTACGTTTCATTTGACGGGATTCAGTGTAAGGCCATTTATGTTGCACCATTCAACAACTTTGTTCAAATTTTTCGACAACCGTTCACAGTCAGAAATATTTAATAGCTGAATATATTTTTAAGTCATCAGCATACAGCAAATAATCAACATTTATAGCGTCACCAATGTTTCCGCAGTCAAAAATTCAAATTAAAAAACAAAAAAAAAGCGTCACCAATGTCGTTGATAAAAATATTAAATAACAGCGGACCCAAATTTGAACCTTGCGGTATACCAGAGGTGGCGCAATATTTGTTAGACTTGAATCCATTTAATTGAACATATTGTGTTCTTTGAGAGAGATACGATTGAAAAAGTGTGATCAAACTATTAGAAAGACCAAATACGCAGAGTTTCTGTATCATATTATGATCAAGTCTATTAAATGCTTTTGTCATATCCGTATAGATGACGTCAGTTTGGACCCGATTATCAATATTTTCAGCTATTTGCTGTGTGATCACAGAAAGATTTGTTACTGTGGAACGCCCTTTAACAAAACCATGTTGCTGAGCTGAGATTGCGTTACAAACATGTTGATAAATACTACGTTCCAGTAATATTTCTAGAATTTTGCAGAAATTGCAAATGATAGAAATCAGCCTATAATTTTTGATATCGTACGTTCACCTTTTTTAAAAATTGGGCAGATTTTAGAAAATTTCCAAATCGAAGGAATTGTATTGGATTTAAGGCAGATATTTATCAAAATAGTTAGAGGGCGAGCTAATACTGCTGAACAATCTTTTAAAATGAACGCAGGAATATGATCCGGTCCTGTGGTACGTTTAGGTTTAATGTTTTTTAAAGCATCCTGGACCTGGGTTTCAGAAAAATGAGTTATATGAAGCTGAGATGGCTGGACGTCCTTTAATGATATGTTTAAACCCTTGGAAGCGACATAAGATTGTCCAAAATATTCCGCAAAGCTTTCTACTATTTATGTTGGATTATTTAATGTTTTATTTTTAAAACTCATGGTGCTTGCAACTTTACCTTGGCATTATTTATTATTAACGTATGCCCAAAATTTATTTGAATTTGCTGAGATTTCAGATTCAAGATTTGTTATGTAATTTTTATAAGCTTCAGATACACAAGGTTTAATTTCAGCTCTGATGAGCTTAAATTCTTGAAGAGCTTGAATATTATTCTCATTCTGATATAAGCGATGAAGTTTAGACTTTTTCCGAAGTTTCTTAATAATAGAACCATTAAACCACGGAGGATATTTTCTTTTATTACTTACAGTATATTTACGTATACACTGATCTAGTATATTGTATAATTTACCATAAAAGTACGTGCAGGCATCTTCAGCATCATAGAAAACCTCCAAAAAATCCCAATTCACAGTAGATAACATTTCATACAAGAGCGGAAAATTTGCTTTACGAAAATTGTATCAATTCGTGTAAGAGGATTCAAGATTTTTCTTATATTGCTTTTTTTCGTTTATTCTACAAGTAATTTCTAAAGCCGGATAATATTTATCTTCTTCTACTAAAGGTTCTAAAGATTTTTCAACCAATCAGAAATGTTTATAATACATCAAGTCTAAGAGCTTATTGTAATCATTGAATACAAAGTTATGTTGAGTCAAATCTAGAACGTCGGCAAAATTATTTAAGCTATTTAATTTAAGATTAGTTTGAATGTTAGATACATAATCAGGTATGTTAAAATCACCTATCATTATAAATTTACAATCATGTAAAAAATCTAATGTCTCCAGAGAATCAAACAATGGTTCGTATTCACCAAGTGGGGTTTATGGTGGGATATACAGGTTACATTCTTAT